CTGCCTTGGCCGCCAGCCACGGGGACGTGGAGGAGGTAGATCGACCGTTGAGTTGGGCCGCGAGGTACGTACCCGGCCGGGTTTAAAGATATGGGGACCAGGTCTAGGGATAAAACGGGAGGGGCGGCGCTCTCGTCGGTCTGGGGAAGGTCTGGGGTCTACTGCTGGGGAGGGAGGGCGTTCACCTCTTTTTTTTTTTTTTGGCTGGGAAGGAAAGGTGGAAGATAACATGGTATTATACATAGATTAATTAATACGATGGTTTTAATTCTAGGAACGTCATGGTTGTGTGACGGTGAGGGTGGTGTATTTTACGTTGCTACTCTTGAATTCTGTTACCTTGTTGAGTGTAGTCTGAATGTCATCTACAAGGTCAGGTTGTCCATGTTTTGAGGGGTTGGTGATGGGGCTCGGGTTGAACAGGAGGGGGATGTGTTGTTGCTCGTTGTTGTTCTCCTCGTCAACAAGGGGGGCTTTGACGTCCATCATCACCTTCACATGCTGGCCATTGATTCGAGATTCTAGATCGTTTGCTCCGATGTAGGACGTGAAAAGAAGAAGATATCATGCCATTTTCACATGTATGATGATGAGTGGTTGACCGAAGCAGGATGTAATGATGATGATGTTGGAGCTGGGCGTTTACTCCGTAATCCAATCCCACGTGTAATTCACATGTTTCGAACCCTTCAGCTGTTGTTTACTGTCTCTCTCTCTCTCCCTCTCTCTCTCTCTCCCGCCCCTCACCGGCTATTGAAGTCTTGTGCTCTTCGACTGTAATTGTTCATGATTCCCTCCGATTCTGATACTTCCCTTCTTCCGAACTATTCTCTTCCTCTCGGTTATACAGTCGTGTTCTTCATGATTGTTCAATACTTCCCTCAGATCTCGTCATCGAGAGTGGTGGTTCGTCACCTTTACCCGAAATCTACTGAGTCATAAATATGTGACTCTTTACAGGGTATCCGCTGTGAAGCCTTACATGCTTTACATGTGAAGGGATTCCGCACCTCCCATCTGTAAGACTTTACCGAGCGAGGTAACCAAACCGGTAAATATCCCCCCTCTCCCTCGGGTACATGGTATTTCACACACATCCCACATCTTTCCCCATCCCGAGTAGTACCCGGAGTAGATGGATGGTGGATAGGCTGGCCTTCAACAGCCATCACCCCTGAATGAACCCCAACTTTTTCAACCCACACTTCCCCCGCCAAGCTCCACATCTTTTTCCCGTGGGGAATTGAATGAATGTTTATCCATGACACGAACCCCCTCCACATATCCCATCAGAGCCGCAACTTGTCCAGACCCGGGAAGACCCAGCCACCACCCCGCTTGAGTCACGAGCTTTTTCTTCGGCCTCGATTCTCGGGAGTGTCTTTTTTCCAATTGGAGGCTTTGGGGGAGTTCAGCATACCCGGAGTTTTGCCACGGGTTTTTGGATATTCGGGGTTTGTGCGTGTGTGTGGTGGTTGGCTGGCTGGCCGGCCGAGCACACCGAGGAAGACCCCAATCACTCACCGGGCCGAGGGAGTGCCCCCAGGGCAAAGCACCCCCCCCCCTCCCCCGCGTGGCTTGCTGATGACAGTCACCATCACAAAACACGGGGATGGTACCCTTGCTGGCCATTCTCATCCCATGTTCTGTTCCGATGAGAAAGCTGGGGGAGTTGAAGCCTTCACCATCCCACGTTCCACGCCTTGTTCCTTTTTCCGATTTTTCTGACCAAGCAAAAAAAAAAAAAAAAAAAAAAAAAAAGATCTGGGGCACAGCCAAACCGTGGGGATCGTTGCGCAAATCCGAAAGAGGGGCCAGCAGGCGGTGAAGCTCGTCCGAAGCTTCTCACCGGATTCTGTGGCGGCCATGGCAGTGGTGGAGTCCGAACCCCAGCTGACCGTGGTGAACCCTACCTCTTGACCGGGGGCGAGATCAACCTTGTTGATTTTGCGGGGTGTCACGGAGAGCCCACGAGCCTCACCACGTCTGAAGATCTAGCAAAACGGTGCTCGCTCCGTTGTCGGAACTTTTGATGCGGGAATGCTTGCTTGCATTTCTGATTGTTCGTCTGTCACCTGCATGTTGCCTTTATGTGCTTCCGGTATCCCCCGCAAAATCCAACTTTGGGACGAAAATTGGGAATTTGGAGGGGGGGATCGGAGGTGCTCCGGGTGGTACCCGACCAAGATCCGGACCAACACCGGTCTTTGACGGAACATGTGGTGGTGTGGGGCCGCTTGCCGGCACGGCACCTCACGGACCTCCAGCGTGTTCTTGACCGAAAGTTGCAGGTTTGGGGCCCAAAGCTGCCGCTCAGCAGGACCTTTCAAGGCTAGCTCGGAAATACCACGCTTGGACTCCTGTAGACGATGCCGATCTGCTTGAGAATTGGTGATGCATTCGTGGCATTGAAAAACTCGAGGAAACGAACAGGGCGAGGTTGCTGGGCCGCAGACGGGAAGGGCGGAGATCAGACAATCCTCGTCAAATCGAGAAGGTAACCCAAGGGGCACACTGTTGGGGTTTTCCGAATCCATTTCCCCAACCCTCTTTTTTCACTCTTTGTGGTCAATTTTGAGAAGGAAGTCACGCGGACGTCAGCAGGTTGCATGCCTTGTACGGAGTACCTTGGACAGCCTCACGGCCCAATCCCACCTCATCCGCTTGTTCCGTATCTACAATAGTTTGTTATGTAATTCTAGACCAAAGTGACAGCACTCAGAAGCGTGAAAAGAGTTCAGACGAAAAGCAGCATGCCATTGGGGTCGTCTGTTTGAGAGCGGTGGAGGCCGGCGGCACATCTGACATCAGACGCGAAGCTGTCCCTGTTTCACCAAGGGCAGGCTTCTCGAAGTCGTTTGGACGACATGGAGGACATCCCTGCGATGGCGTCGGGAGAAGTCGGAGGGAAAACCTGCACCATCCATGCAGCCCGCAAACTGCATGCTCGTGCCTTCCCCGGGCCTGCCCCTGAGACTCCATCGCCCCACCGGCCGGTCCCCCCTTCAGACGATTTGCGATGGACCCACCCACACCCCACCGCAGCTCCACCGGGTCCCATTGACGGCTGTGACAGTGTGGGAATCTGCAGAACCGGAGTAGCGGTACCTCTCGACCGTTTGAGATTGAAATTCCCCTTTTCCGCTTTCTCGGTAAAATCTCTGCTATCTCGCAGAACTCGCAGTGGTTGTATATATCGGCGCCATTTTGCGACAATTCGGAACCCGACATATATGCCACGATAGCGAATTCCCCGGCAGCACCGGTTTTCTTGTACACAATGCCGCTGGAGCCGGTGTGTAACACCAGCAACTGATCACCGAACGCGTGCCTCTCGCTGGACTTATTAGGTAATTCTGCAAGGAGTGGCAGAGGTCACGGGTTGTCGCTGAGACAAGGGAGACTGTGTATTTTACAGATGAGAGGCCGACAACCGATCCCGACTTGGCTGCCGGCCAGCATCTCAACTTCAGCCGACGGTTCGGGACGAGGCCCCTTAGCCCAAACAGGCAATGGCACCCCATCATCGACACTTTGATTGGTCAGGTGCTGCGAGGTTAGTGGCCTGTCGAGATGAAGCTGAGAAAACACGGAATTTTCAGGACTGTTTTACAATACACGATTACATCCAGCTGAAAGACACAAGCAGAACGTCCTGCTCATCGGCGCCAACGGGTGTCCGCCATGTTTTTTCACTCTCATGAAAATGTGATTGTGTGCTCTCAAGCAGGTCTCGGCGGGCTGTTGATGAGGTTCGTTCTCAGATTCCGGCCATTCCCATAGCTGCAGGAGTGACCACCTTCGATGTGACGGCGGTACTTGGTTTGGCTCACATGGCGCAGGAGGTACTTTTTTTTATTTTTACGGATCGAGAGGTCTGGGTCTGACACACCCTGGCCAACCAACCACTCAGCAACCAGCCTGTGACGTCGCGCGCAACGGTGCGGCGGTCAATTCATTTTTGATATTTTTTTTTCGTTCTCTTCCCAACGAGAATCAAGCCCAGGGCCCAACAAATTGGTGCAAAAAAAATAACGGGATATTCGGGAGCGATTGTGATTAACGCCCAATATGCGTTTCCATGGATTCCGCGCCGTGTCGGGAGCCCATTCCGGTCCTTGTTGAAGTGGTTGAACCTCTGGGGTGTGATTGTCGGTGACTCCTGCTTTCGGTGTCGCCCGGCCGTGTAAGTGGAAACCCTGACCGCTACGGGAACTCGTACCGGTACCGGCACCCCTGATGACAGGGGATCGTGACTTCTTTTTTTCTTTCCCTAGTATCCCACCCATCGAGGCCCAACGTGCGAGCGTGCCCAGAGAGAGGTCGTAGCCCTTGAAACGTGCAACGAAACCTCCAGACAGGCCTCCGTCGCATCAAGTAGTAAGGTGTAGCAGGCGATGGAGCTGCTGCTGGCTTCTGCTTCGCGCCGCCGTGGTCTTGCAAAAAGGTCTTAAAGAGGAGGCTTGCCGTCGCCAACAAGCATTGTTGTTGCTGTTGTTGGCAAGACACTCCAACAACCATCACTACTGTTGACCGAAAAGGCTCTGGTGGCCCAATCGATTACACGCCCTAGCGGTAGTTTCAGTCGCCGTAATACTACTTCTAATAATACGCCCGCTGGTCGCTCAACCCTCGACGCACTAGACTCACGCCGCAGGGGACCCTCCCGTTCCTGTTCCTCCTCCTCTTCGAAGACTTCTTTTGTTCTCCCGACTCCCACACATCCTTCCCCCTCGTCACTCGCACATGCAATGGCTTCGTATGCTCCCAGCGCCTCTTCATCCGATATCTCAACGCCTCGGTCAACATCCCCCTCATCGTCCTCAGTAGCGTCGGCCCGGTCCTCGCACTCATCTATATCTACCTCTAAGCGCATGTCCATCTCGTCTTCGCGCAGAATATCCGCCGCCAACCCAATGTCGTCTGTTGACATCGCTGCCATTGAAGAAGCCATGAGAATGGCCAACCTCGACACCCTCCGGGGTTACCAGCAAAAGACCTACGGCGAGGTCAAGCAGTTCGCCGAGACGCAGTACCTCTCCCAGAACCAGGCTCTTGGTTACCAGGTCATCAACGAGCCCATGTGGAATAAGGGTGAGTCAACATTCTTTTCTCTCTTCTCTTTGCGCGTCATTCCGTTTAGCAGGGGAAGCGGTGCCAGAGCTTAAATCTTGCACCGTGTCCGAGCAGACCTGCTCCCGAACCTGTCCGGACCATCTGACTCGAATACCGGCTCCCCCCCCCTCCCCACTACCCCTCCCTCTCTCTAAAGCATCATATTCCCCTACCTCCTCTCCTCCCGGTCTATTCTTTCTGAACCTTGATGAGCCTTTGCCTCCATCAATGACCTCCCGCATCCTCCCTTCGTTGCGCACCATGGCAGCTAACATCACGTCCCTCCGTCAAGGCCTCTCTTTTACCCCAGAGCAGCGCATCGCCAAGAACCTCACCGGTCTTATCCCACACGTCATGGAGGACTCGGGCAAGCAGTGCGAGCGTGCGCTCAAGATGATCCGGACTCGCCAGACCAACATTGACCGCTATCTCTATCTGTCGTCGCTCAAGTACCAGAACGCCGACCTCTTTTACCGCCTGCTCATCGACAATGCGAAGGAGCTCATGCCTCTGGTGTACACTCCCACCATTGGTGACGTGTGTCTTCAGTATTCTACTCTCTACACCCGCCCCGAGGCGCTCTACATCTCCATCAAGCAGCGCAAGTCGATAAAGACGATCCTCAAGAACTGGCCATATCCAAATCCCGAGATCTGCGTCGTGACAGATGGGTCTCGCATCCTGGGCCTGGGCGATCTGGGCGTCAATGGCGTTGGCATTCCGGTAAGTCACGTCGGCAAAAGCTGTGGACGGACGCAGCGGGGTCCCGGTGGGCTGGTTGGCTAATTTACATGCATCAGATCGGCAAGCTAGCCCTGTACACGGCGGCGGCGGGTATCCACCCGGATAAGACGCTCCCCATCGTTCTCGACTGCGGAACGGCCAACGAGACCAACCTCAAGGATCCACTGTACCTGGGCCTGCGCTCGAAGCGGCCCTCGGTGGCCGAGCAGCAGGAGTTTATGGACGAGTTCATGACTGCCGCTGCCGAGGTCTATCCTGAAATGGTGGTGCAGTTTGAGGATTTCGAGTCGGAAAAGGCCTTCAACTACCTGGACCGGTATCGGAACAAGTACAAGTGCTTCAATGACGACATCCAGGGCACTGGCGCTGTTGTTCTCGGAGGGTAAGTTTTGGCCTCGCCGAAGGATCCGCAATTTTTGCTATTGCTAACCTGTTTTGCAGCTACATTGGTGCCGTGAATCTTTCCGGCGTTCCTCTCGAGGAGCAGCGCCTCGTCTTCATGGGTGCTGGCTCTGCCGGTGTCGGTGTCGCCAAGCAGCTTGTAGAGTACTACACCAAGCGTGGTCTCTCCGAGCAGGCGGCCAAGGACAAGTTCTGGCTTGTCGACACCAAGGGCCTCGTAACCAAGGACCGCGGTGACAAGCTCGCCGAGCACAAGAAGTACTTTGCTCGCGGCGACAACAACGGCCTCCAGTTCAAGTCACTTGAGGAGGTTATCGAGTACGTCAAGCCAACCGCTCTTGTTGGCTTGACTGCCACCTTTGGCGTCTTCACCGAGTCTGTCGTCCGCGCCCTCAAGGCTTCTGTGGACGCCGGTGGTCTCGGCCGCAGACCCATTCTCTTCCCTCTCAGCAACCCCCTCACCAAGGCCGAGTGCACTTTCGAGCAGGCCGTCACCTGGACTGATGGCACCGTCATCTTTGCCTCTGGCTCTCCCTTTTCTCAGTTCACCATCAAGCTCGGCAGCGACCAGGCCATCACCTACTACCCCAACCAGGGCAACAACGTCTATGTCTTCCCTGGCATCGGCCTCGGCGCCATCCTCGCCAAGGCCACCCGTGTCACCGACAACATGATCTACACCTCTGCTGCTGCCCTTGCCGGGTCCCTGAACGCCGAGGAGGTGCACAAGGGTCTGATCTACCCTCGCATTGAGCGCGTGCGTGATGCCAGCGTGATTGTTGCCCGCGAGGTGATGAAGGCTGCGCGTCGGGATGGTGTGAGTGCCCTGCCCGAGGAGCAATGGCTTACCTGGGAGGAGTGGGGTGACCCGGCTCTTGATAAGTATATCAAGGAGCATATTTATGACCCTGCTCTTTAAGTGTTTGTTTTTCGGGGAGGGGCGGGTATTGAAATTGGGAGTCTATAATGACTGGATGAAGCTGGGTTGGGAGAGAGGGAGGGGGGGGGGAGTGCATTACTGGCGTTGTTTACTTTCAGGGAAGGACTTAGCTTAGCCTTTTTTTTTCTTTTCTGTTTTCTTTGCTTTTGCTTGCCCCTTGGTATGAGCATTGCGGGGATTATAATGGGCTTCTTTTTTGCGGTTATCTCTTTTTCTAATGAATGATATCCCAACGAAGAGTTGAGGAGACCAAGTTTCACACACACAAGATTTGGTTTTTGGATGGACTACAATGGATGGCAGAGTGCATGGAAAACGGGAGGTTTCTGAGGCAAGACAAGACAAGACAAGATTACAGTTGTTGGATGTGGCGGTGTCAAGTGAGCGTGCAAGCGCGGAATAGATAAAAAGAGGGAGGAATCCAAATACATATACTACTTGTTAGAATGAGAATGAAATGGGGGAGAGCGGTTTGTGTCGAGATTGTTGATGCTTGATAGGAGAGGTGAAGGTTGAATGAATGATTTGGTGTGCAGTTGTTGTTAGCATGTGATGTGTTGTTGCTGTTGTGTGTCTGATTGGTGAACCTATAACCATCACCGCAGTACCCCTTTATAACACCTGAGTGCTGTCCACCCTCTCACGTCAACATTCTCATAAATCTCTCTCTCTCACAACACCATCCCATCCCATGGTTAAACCGCCCCCAAAGTCCCCAACCTCCCCCCAAAGTTAC